TACCCATGAACCCGCGGATACCCAGCGGGTTGGGTTGGGTTTGAGTTTTTCAAACCCAACGGGTTTTACCCCGGGTCTTTTTGGCGGATAAACCCATAAGTTTGGGTTCGGGTTTGACAAAACCCGCCCCAACCCGACCCATTGCCATCCCTAACCACACACTCCTAACCTAATCCCTCCGTTTCTCGATTCTTCTTCCCCTCCGTTTTCTCGATTCTCTTCCCAGAGACCCAGACTCTCTCTCTCCCTACTCTCTCTCTCGATCCCTTTTTCTCTCTGCTTCCTTCTTATGTTCTTGAAGTAACCAGTTCCTTCCCATTTCTCACTTGCACTTTCCCATCATCCATCATTTTTCTTTGCCTGTAGACCTCTCTAATCTCCGTTACTCACTTTGCCATTGGGCCTTCCTTTGCCCTCACCTCCACCAAAGTCACATCTGCCGTCGCCATCTGCAACCGCCGCGCCCCATCATCCGCCATTGTCGACCTTTTGTTTGTGCCCCTGAATCACGACGAATATCCCGCCTATGGCCGGGCGGCGGGGAGATCTGGTCGGCGATGACGGCGCCAGGCTGGTAACCTCGGAGTCGGTTTTGGCATGCATTTTTTTGGGTTTTGTTTGGGGTGATGGGAATGAATGGGAAAGCTGGGTGAAGTAGAGAGAAGCTTGTTCAGGCGGAGGAGGGAGCAAAATGGGTTTTATGGGAATAGGGGCAGTGAAGGGGAAGGCGGAAAATGGTGAAGGGGAAATGGATTTGGGATAGGGTTTGGTTGATTTGGGATTAGTTGGAAGAGAAGAGGGTCGGGTCTCTGGGGGGAAGATGGCTTTGGATGCGGCGTCGTTTAAGGAAAGGGCAGGGGGTCGGTTAGCCGGTTAACCGCCGGTTTCCGACCTCGGTTAGTCGGCTAACCGGCCCCCTAATTTGCTCTACCGTCAACCGACCGTGCTCTTCAGGTTCGGTTTTTCGGTTAGCCGAAAACCGGTCGGTTCGGTTGAAACCGTCCGGTTAACTGCTAACCGGAAACCGTCTGCCAGCCCTAGTATTATATTATGAAAGTAAATATGTTCTTCTCATGTAATGGATTGGATTTTTATCCAACCCGACTCAAACCGCAACTCAAGAAAACCGTAGAGTCTTGAAATTTATGGGTGGATTTGAGTTCATCATTATTCAACCCGAGACTCATGATTTGGGTCATTAAAATGATTAAAACCAGCCCATGTACACCCCTAATTACACCAACCATCAGCTTATATGGAAAAATCAGTCAATAATTAATTTTTATAATGGGACAAGGAAAAAAATAGTACTCTATCACCTACATTGGCGTCCTTCAATTATTATTGGGCTAGCTTATGATTAATTTGCAGCAGCCGACAACATTTCAGAAGAACTTCCATTAACAGCCGGCTGACCATCAGGCACATTGTACTCCCTGGGAACCAAATACAAAGCGTTCTTCCTCCCCATGGTGGCTGCAAATGACTCTTCCATGTCGAAATCCTCCACGGCAAGCCCTTCAGGGAGCTCCCAGTTAAAATAGTAGAGCAATTGAGCTACAGGGAGCTCAACATTGGCCATCCCAAAAGCGATTCCAGGGCATATCCTCCTTCCTGCTCCGAACGGGATCAACTCGAAATGCATCCCTTTAAAATCGATCTCGCTTCCGTCGAATCTCTCGGGAACGAAAACCTCCGGATCCTTCCACGTTCCGGGGTCCCTCCCGATCGCCCAGGCGTTGACGATCACTTTCGTTTTCTTGGGGATCTCGTACCCGGCAACTACGCAATTTGCTTTGCTTTCCCTCGGAAGCAGCAACGGTGCTGGTGGGTGTAGTCTGAAAGTTTCTTTGATCACCGCACTCAAGTATGGCAGGTTCTGAATGTCTGCTTCCGTGACTACCGATTTGCCCTTCATGGCTTCTCGCACCTCGGCTTGAGCCTTCTTCATCACTCGGGGGTTCTTCATCATTTCTGACATTGCCCATTCCACTGTTGTTGATGAGGTGTCTGTTCCAGCTATAAAGAGATCCTGAAATCGAGTGTGTTAGGTATTATATAAAATTGTTCATAACACATTCATCAGTTACACAAATTTATCAATATATTCCACTCTTAAAATCTTTCGATAAATAACGACTCTCTGATACTATGTTAAGTACCGATTAAAATAGATTTTAATGATTTACCACAAGGACGGCTTTGATATTGGTGCTAGTAATGGGACACTTGAAGCCGCCACTCCCCTGAAGCCGGAGAAGAACATCCATGAGATCCTCATCATCCAAATCCACCTCCCCTTTCGCCCTCTTCTCCTCGTGCTGCTTAATGATCCTATCGAAGATCCGATCCAACCCGTTTCGGATCCTCAGAAGCTCCGATTTCATCCCCGTAAGCCCCTGAAGAAACCCCAGAGACGGGTACAAATCGGCGATGTTGAACCCCGCCGCCGCCCGAACCGCCCCGTTCATCAACCCGACGAATTCCTCCTGATCCATACACTGGTACCCAAACGCGGTCTTGCAGGTAATCGTATTGGTCAGACTGAGCACCTTCTCGGTTAAATTCACCGGTTTCCCCACCGAATTCCTCACCGACGCGATCATGTCGGAGACCTCTGTTTCTCGAATCCCGCGGAAAGATTGGGTCTTTCTCGGACCCAGAAGCTCCGTCAGCGAAATCCGCTTCATCTGCTTCCAGTACTCGCCGTGAGGGGAGAAGGCGATGTCCTGGCTCCCCCACGTGGCGATCTCGGAGGCGAGGAGGCGGGGCCGGTCGGCGAAGTTGAGGTCGTGGGTTTTCATGATTTCCTGGGCCATCGCCGGGGTGGAGACGACGGCGGCGGAGATTTCGCCGAGCTGGAGGTGGATTAAGGGGCCGTATTCGGCGGCGAGGTTGCGGAGGGCTTGGTGTGGGAGTGCGCCGATGAGGTTGTGTAGGTTTCCGATCAGGGGAAGCTTGGGTGGGCCTGGAGGGAGATGGTGAGTTTTGGTTGTGGTGAGTTGGGGTTCGGAGTGGGTTTTCTGGCAGGAGATTCTGGCCGGGATTAGGCGGTGGAGGCGGAGGGGGAGAGAAGGCAGCGGCGGCGGGGGGTTGTTGCCGCCGGTGAATGGCGTTCTGAGAGGGGTGAAGGTGAGTGAGGCCATTAGTTTGGTTGGCAGAGGAGGAGGAGGAAAACAGGGGAAATTGGAAACAGAGACTGTTGGAAATGTGTTATGTTGTGATGATTGGCGGGATTGGGATCTCATAAATAGGAGAATGGAAATATGGGAGTGAAGTATGGCGGCTGATTTGGGTTGGTGGATATAATATATACTAGGTTAGTCAAGACTCAAGAGCCATCGCCATTGTCAGATCTGCCGGCGCCCATCGCACGACGGCTACAAATTTTTCATCGATTTTCCTTTAAACTAACACAAGAGAGAGAAATACGTGAAGGAAAAGAGATGATAGGAAAGATTGGCAGAGTAAAATTTGACCTCGAGGAAACCCCAAAACAGCGGCGGCCGAAAAGTGGAGGAAGAGAGAGCCAGCCACGAGCAAGGGTCGTCACAGAGCAGAGGAAAAACACCCGAGATCATTTGGGCATGTACTGGATTGGGAATAGGAATGGATTGGGAATAGAAAAGAAACAAGCTTTCACAGCAAAACCTCCCCTGGCTCTAGGTTCTCTAGCCCGGCGTTTCTTTTCTCTAGCCATAAGAAGAATACTAAAGAATGAATTACAGGATAGGTAGGGATTCTAGGCTGACGTTTCTCCTCCCTAGAGCAATAATGGAACTAACGGCAGAAAAAGAACTAACTACAGCAACAACGAAACTAACGGCAGGAAAGAATTACGGTAATGCCACCCATTGATGGGACACTAATGAACAGTGTAGTTTGGACATGTCTTATGATAAGAAGAATTTTTGGTTTCGTGGTCTAAGTGAGAGAGTGATTAAAATAACTTGGGAGATGGAAATCTTTCTGCGGCCGATATTTTGGAGCAAGTTAATTACCTTATTGACCATCATAACTCATGATAATGAATAAAGTGCACAATTAATAAATTTGAACATTTGGGGTTGCATCTTCTTAGGTGTCTAAAGCCGTAGATCTCCTAAGGCAGATATGATTCTCACGAAGTTCGACCGTCCAAATCGCTCATGAAGATCAAGCCATATTTCTCTAGCGGAATCCAAAACCAGAGAATGAATTGAGCGATTGTTGGCTCCAGTGAGCGGTAGATCCACTCGAGCACCATGTGATTTGCTCATGCTCGAGCATGAAGTAGCGGATCGCCATCTTCGGGACGCCACTCTTCACCGTTGATGAAAACGATCTTGTTCTTGGCCAACAACGACATGCACATCGACCTCGCCTAAGGAATCGGACCAGCTACTTAAGGAGCTACCATCATGGAATTGAAACTTCGAGAATTTGAAAACGAAACGACAGAAGAAACCAAGAACGAGCTATTGACTCTGATACCATGCTAGATTCCAAGAATTTGGAAGAAGAAAATAATTCATGTATTGGGAGATAACTGTGTTGATTTGTCTGTACACACTATACAACCCTTTTATACATGTAAACCAAATTACTAATTTAATACCTATAATATAAATTACAAATAACTGCACTATTTACATTAAAAAAATTACATTTTGATCATCATCTATATAATCTAACACATCTAGAGAGAATGTTCAAACTTATTTGTAACATCTGAACACAGTAGCTGTTATCTTATTATTAGTCACCTGAAGAACTTTCAAGGGCACCTTCCTTTTATGTATATGCGCGGCCTTCTGCATGTTGGAAAGAGGGATTTGCTAAGAGAATAATTTGGAGAGAATAAAAAACGTAATCTCCTTCTCTATTGACAGTTCTGTTTTATACACTGTTACAAGAGGTTCTGTTGAGAGAAAGAAGGGTAGTGTACAGAGTGGGGAGAATGTACAGGAAGAGATGGCTAGAGAATAGGAACAGAAATAAAGAAAAGAATAAAATAAATGTTATTCTTTTTCTCTAATACGCCCCCGCAAGATGGAGGAGGTGTCAACGACTCCAATCTTGGATCGTAACAGGAGAAATCGTGTGGAAGGCAGAGGCTTGGTGAGCATATCAGTGAGTTGATGAGCAGTCGGAATGTAGCGGACATGAAAACGGCCATCCTGAACGAGCTGACAAACAAAGTGATAGTCTATAGCCAAATGCTTCATTCGAGAATGAAACAGTGGATTGGCACTAAAATACGTGGCCCCAAGATTGTCGGAGAGGAGTGTTGGGGACGAAGTAAGCGGTTGATGAAGCTCGTGCAGCAGATTCTGTACCCATGCCAACTCTGCAGCCGCATGTGCAATCGCCCGATACTCAGCCTCAGTACTGGAGCAAGCGACAGTGCGTTGTTTCTGAGATCGCCATGAGATAAGAGTGGGCCCTAAGTAAACCAGATAGGCTGAGGTGGAGGTGCGATCATCAACGTTGCCCGCCCAGTCGGAGTCTGCAAACGCGGTGACCTGAAGAGGAAGGGAAGAGCGCCGGATAGCGAGACCGTAGGAGATAGTGCCACATACGTAGCGGAGAACACGTTTGAGGCACTGCCAATGATGAGAAGAAGGAGTGTGCATGTATTGAGATAACTTGTTGACGGCGTAGGCTATGTCAGGACGCGTGTAGACAAGATATTGAAGAGCCCCAAGGACCTGACGATAGCGGGTGGCATCCGTGGGAGAAGTGGTATCCCGTAAGGAGAGAGTAACAGGGGAGGCAAGTGGTGTGGATACTGCCGCCGCATCCAACATATGAAACCGAGTGAGAATATCTACCATGTACTTATGCTGCAATAGAATGTAGCACGCCTCCGTAGTAATGACCTCAATGCCCAAAAAATAATTAACATCGCCCAACTCCTTGAGGGAGAACTGTTGGGCTAGAGCTTGTTGAAAGATGGAGAGAGTGTGAGCATCATTCCCCGTGAGCACAAGATCATCAACATACACCAGGAAATATAGGAGAACGCCCTCTCGTTGATAGACAAAGAGAGAGGCATCAGACTGTGTCTTTTGGAAGCCAAAATCAAGTAAGAAAGAGCTGAGGGCGGTATACCAAGCACGCGGAGCCTGTCGTAGACCGTAAATAGCGCGACGAAGTCTGCAAACATGAGTAGGATATTTAGGATCAACAAAACCAGGAGGTTGAACCATGTATACCTCATCCTCGAGGGGCCCTTGAAGAAAGGCATTGTTGACATCAAACTGCTTAATGGCCCAATTCTGTGACAAAGCAATGGAGAAAACCGTACGAACTGTGACAGGTTTGACCACCGGACTGAAGGTGTCCTGAAAATCTACACTCGGGCGCTGATGAAAACCTTTGGCAACAAGGCGGCACTTGAAGAGGTTGATGGAGCCATCAAAAAGATGCTTAATGCGATAGACCCATTTGTTGCCCAGGACATTGTAATGGGGGAGCCGTGGTACAAGATCCCAGGTGTGATTTTGCAGGAGAGCAGTATGTTCTTTGTGAAGAGCAGCATCCCATTCGGGATATTGCATGGCCTCCCTGACAGAGCGAGGCGCAAGCGGGGGAGTCCGGGTCATCAAATTTGCCGTGAACAGACGCTTGGATTTGTAAATACCCTATTGAGCACGAGTGGTCATTCGGTGGGTGCGAACAAGTGGAGGAGGGGCAGCAGGCCGCTCAACAGTGGGCTGAGGTGAGCTAGGAGCCTGCTGGGCAAGCTGTGATGGCCCAGGGAGGGCAGTTGGCCTTGGAAGGCTGGAGAATCAGGCCGGGGCCCAGTGGACGCGGGGCTGGGGCAAGGAGGCCGGCTGGGCAGGGGAGGCCGGATGAAGTGGCGACGGCCCGGTCGCCGCAGCAGGTTGGAGCGAGGAGGCCGAGTGGGCGAGCTGGACGGCCCAGGGGAGATGAATGGGCCTGGGGAGGCCTGAGGAGGAAGCACGGGCCTGGTCGCTGCAGGGGTGGCTGAGGCGGAAGGGGGCTTGGGCCCAGGTGGGGAGGTGAGGCCCATTGCCGACACTCTGCGTGGAGGGGCTGCGCACAGGGAGGCCTGGCCTGCGGGGGAAGTGGCAGAAGGGGTTGTCGAGCTAGTGGAAGCATTAGGCAGTGGAATGGTTGTGATAGTGGGCCCAACATCATATAACCACGAATCCACCATGGAGGAACCTACAGGAGGATTAGAGAGATAGCCAGGGAACGAATTCTCAACAAAGTGGACATGACGGGAGAGGAAAACACGTTGTGTTTGGGGATCAAAATATCGATAGGCACTGCGCTGAGGACAATAACCAACAAATAAGCAAGGACGGGAGCGGGGAGCAAGCTTATGGGAGGAGTACGGACGAAGCCAGGGATAGCACAGACAACCAAAAATACGAAGCTTGTGAAAATTGGGTGCAATGTTAAAGAGAGTGGTGAATGGAATTTGACCGCGCATAGCAGAGGAAGGCCTGCGATTAATCAAATAGACAGCAGTAGAGAAAGCATAAGACCAAAAAATCGCTGGTAAGTGGGCATGATGCAAGAGAGTGATACCCGTTTCCACAATATGGCGATGTTTACGTTCAGCAAGACCATTATGCTCAGGAGTGTGTGGGGGAGTGAGAAGATGACTAATGCCATGAGTAATCAGTGTGGAGCACAATTTTTGGAATTCACCACCACCATCAGAATAAAGACGACGAATGGTGGTGGAGAAGTAGTTCTCAACCATCTTACGATAGGCAAGAAACACATCAAGAACATCATATTTACGTTTTAAAGGATAATACCACGTATATCGGGGAAAATGATCAACAATGATTAAATAATACCGAAAACCATCAATGGAGGGTACGGGAGCAGGGCCCCAAACATCCGTATACAGCAAATCAAATGGTCTAGAGCTCGACAAGGAGGAAACAACAAAAGGGAGTTTATGACTCTTATTGGAAAGACAAGAAGAACAATGACTATTGACGAGTGAGGATAATACTGGCAGGGAATGTGTGCGAAGAAGACTGTTGAGAGAATGGGTGGAGGGGTGGCCAAGGCGGGCGTGCCATGATAAAGATGATGTACGTGTGGTGATAAGAGCCAGGCGCACCGTGTCCACATCGCCCGGCAGCCAATAGACATCCCCATTATTTTCCCCTTTCAGCAGCGGCGCCCCCGTGTGAAGATTCTTCACAACAAAACAATCAGCAAAAAATTCCACCGAAATGGGATTAGAACGACACAGTTTAGCCATAGAGATAAGTTTTCGCTTGATGGCAGGAGCACATAACACATCATTCAATTGTAAAGTAGAATTTTGGAGCGTAGAGGTCCCAATGTGTGTGATTTTCAAACCTGAGCCATCGCCAACAAGAATCTCATCAGGACCATTGTAGTCCGAATAAAGTGATAAACTTCCGAGATCAGGAGTGACATGATGTGACGCAGTAGAATCAAGCAATCAGGGAGCCGATGGAGACGCACGAGTGACAGTGGAGTGATAGGCCTGAGCTTGACGAGCCTGATAGGCCTAGCGGGCCTGGGGAAAGAGCTTAAAACACTGGCGTACCGAATGGCCAGTACGCTCACAATATTGACAAATTATAGTGGGTCGGCGCTGGGTATTGGAGAGGTCCGAAAATGACCCAGAATTGTGCTCATGGGCCAGCGGAGCAGGAGCTCTTTGAAATCCTTCATGGGCCCTGGGAGAAGCAGGGGCCTGGGCCCGCAGTGAAGAGGAGGCCCGCGGTGAGGAGTCACGCTGCTGAGATCGGCTGATAGAGGAAGTACCGCCGCCAATTCGCTGCCCCTGGGAGAAGAAGGCCGTTGGAACCGAGTGCTTCACCTGCGCCTTCAAATCAGACTCGTATTCAACGAGGGAGTCGACTAGGTCCTCGAAAGCTAGACCGGGTCCCCGCGCACGAATGGCAGCAGCAAAAGCGCCATACTCTTCGCCCAAGCCACGAAGACAGTAGACATTGAGATCAATGTCAGAGACAGGATCGCCGATAAGAGCAAGTTCGGCCGCAGTACTTTTCAAATCATTCACAAAAGCCAAGATATCTCGATCTCCCTTGATGTTTTGGCCAATTTTCTTTTGAGATAAATCACCTGGGATTGAGCGTTGCTGGCATAAAGTTTCTCAAGAATCAGCCATGCAGCTCGTGAGGTAGAGGCAGCAGACACAAATGAATAGATGGACTCTGAAATCGAGCAACGCAAGGCGTGGAGGATCAGTTTATCCTGGCGAAACCACAATTGATATGCTGGATTGGATTTTTCAGAGCCATTTTCTGTGATTGTACGCGCAGGGGCAGCAGTCGTGCCGTCAATGAAGCCAAATAAATCAAGGCCAAGAAGAAGTGTTTCAAGTTGGGAGCGCCAGGAGGCAAAGTTGGTCGGGGTTAGCTTCAATGGAAGCTGAGCGGCGGGATTAAAGGTCACAATGGCAGGGACAGTGATGGAGGAAGTAGTGTCGTGGACTTCAGAGCCGCCAGACATGGTGGCGGAGGAGGAGAAAAAAAAAACAGAGTGACTGAGGAGGAAAGGTAACGTAGAGAAGGAGATTGGATCGAAAACTAGCTGATCGTTGCTAGATCTGATACCATGTTGGTTAGAGGGATTTGCTAAGAGAATAATTTGGAGAGAATAAAAAACGTGATCTCCTTCTCTATTGACAGTTCTGTTTTATACACTGTTACAAGAGGTTCTGTTGAGAGAAAAAAGGATAGTGTACAGAGTGGGGAGAATGTACAGGAAGAGATGGCTAGAGAATAGGAACAGAAATAAAGAAAAGAATAAAATAAATGTTATTTTTTTTTCTCTAATACTGCAATTGAATGATGTTAAATCCACGATAAGATAATTTACTGATTTCCCCCTTTTATTTGGTTGAGGAACACCCAGAAAACCAAAAAAAAAAAAATTACACTTCACGGTCCACATTCATAAACTAGTTACTATCAGATGGGCTCCGTTCAATAAACCAGTAGATGGGCCGAAAGAAACAAGACCCAAACAAACACAAAGAACCCGGCCCACCCCTACAACACTTAGCCATCCGTAATACCGTAACCCCTGAATTGTTATGATTTTATTCTAGGGTTTATTTTTGCACTTACCCATTAGCCATCCTTTTGGTCCTTGATTGTATTCAAAATCCGAATTGTTATAATTTTATTTTTGCACTTAATCATTAACCAACTTGTTATTCCTTGATTCTGGCTCTATTTTAACCTTAGAATGAGTAACAATGAGTAACCAAATTTGGACCATTCTTTTAAGTGACTGCAGATCTAAGAATAGAGAATTAAAAGAATTTATTTTCCCTAGTTTTCTTAATCGGATCATATCTTCTTCATTCTAACTCGGATTTCAATTTTTTTTGCACAGATGGAACGAGTTCGTTGTGCTCTACGAAATGATATCCATTTTCAATATTTTTTGAGAAAAAAAATTTCCATCCCTCTCGTTACCAACTCCATACCATATGGTATCTCCTTCGGTTTAGTCATTTTCGGAAATTTTTTCACAAAAGGAACGATTTAATCATGATCGATTGGATTTCAAAATTTTATGGGGGAAAAATTTCAAACCGCTCGTTACCAACTCCATACCATACTATACCACCCTG